AGAGAGAGAGAGAGAGAGAGAGAGAGAGAGAGAGAGAGAGAGAGAGAGAGAGAGAGAGAGAGAGAGCAGCGCTTACGTTTGGTTAGAATCTTTTGCTTCTATACTTGTCTGCCTGTTTTTATCAACTGCGGTTTCTTGTTCTTGTTGTCATTCATGTGCTGAGCCTGGAACCAATTCTTTTTAGTTAAAATGACTAAATGTATGATTCTACGAGCCTCAACATTCGTGGCGGTGTCCCTCCAGAAGACTAGCTGTGGAGCTTCACTACCATGCCTTTCACTTTTCCACCCTTGTAAAAAAGATCGTGTTGGATAGTTTGCGAGTTTCTCCCCCTGAGGATTCCCGGAGGGCGAGGCGTTATTCTAGTGGAGAGAGTGCGTGCTGTGTGTAAGCAGTCAGGGTTGACTTCATTCTGTGTCCTTCTGAATGCTGAATGCGAATCCACTCTGCCCGAACCACTAGTGAACCGAATACAATGTTCATGAATTCTGCTGATGTGAATCTTCACGGATCATTTGCAACGCCAGAGTTCCGTTTGGTTCAACAGCCTAGTAATGGGAGCTGAACCTGTGTTTTCAAATTCACAATCTGACACTTCGACCCGTTAAGTTGTATGCGTCGAAATGGTCCCGACTCGCTCGAAACAATGGAGGTTTTTTTTTTTTTTTTTTTTTTTTTTTTTTTTTTGAACCAAGAATTGCCGATCAGTCTTGGGCTGTATGCTGGTGAGCACGTTGCAGATCACCCATGTGGTCTACGCGTTGCGGGGAAATTTGCAGGTCACCCATGCGGTCTGCATCTCAGGCTTTATGTTTGGCTCAAAGGTATGCAAGCCTGCTGGACAGTGCTAAGAAGAATTTGGAGAGAGATGATGGCTCAACGTGAATACCACTTTCACCGAGCGAGTGTGTGCTAGCAAGCTGTGCGAGGATTAAACCACCAGTACACCCGAACCTGGAGGCGCCGCACTGCGTGCCAAGCTTTTCCAAACCGCTAGCGGCACTCTTTTATTTTTCTCGGCTGGTGCCGCCATCCGGTCGGCCCGACCCGCAAAATTTTCGGAGTAGGGGACGGACATCTTTCTGCAAGGCAGGGGCCATTCAACAAATCTGCATGTTTTTCCAACCAAGTGGCCTCGGCAGTGGGCATGGTATAGCGACCTGGGCAACCCTGTGCATTCCTTAAGCTCTGGGAGTGGTGGTTTGGATGCAGGGGGTGGAATCATAGGTGGTAGCAGCATTTTGGGAAAAGCATGTGAAACAGCAAATAAAGTGTTTGGTTAGGGAATCAAGGTGGTCGTGGTCATCACCTGCCTGTCTGCGGCCGTATATTCATGACTGCATGCTGATGTAAGGCGTCAGGGAACTTCACGGTTGCCTTTGTTCTGTCTTCTTCTGAATGCGGGCTTTGAAGAATTTGCTCCCTGCATTGGACACCACCTACCAATCTCTGCGTGTCTTCGTTGATCCTAGCACTGTGTTGATGAATTCTGCTGATGTGAATCTCCGCGGAGTATTCTCGAGCTGCGTGAGGATTGACAATTCTGTGCGTCTTTGCAATCTTGTTTCGCAGGTTGTTGATAGAGTATTGGACTGGATCATGAGACTGTTCCCCAGGAACAGAGGAAACAGGTGGACCCTGGCGAAGCTGCAGTGACCGACATTGTAATGGATTCTGGGATTTCCGTGATGGTTTGAAGTTTGAACTGCAGCTTTGCAGGTAAAGGTAGTGGCAGGGGGTTGGGTGGTCTGTTGTAGGAGCGAGGGGCAGGTTCGGTTCCATTAACAGTTTGGATTTGTGGGATTTCTTCGCAGTTGAACAGTGCGGAACCAGTCTGAGTTCGTGGAATCGTGGTTCTCCGCGGTAAGTCTTATGCCATTAGGTCGCTCTTTGCGGGCAAGTGGTGTGTTTATTTGTGGAGGCCTTTTTTCGAAATGCTGGGGCATCTGTCCTTTTGCAGCATCGTCATGCAGTGACATGGCGTGCCTCAATGATAGAGGACTGGTCCAGCATGTCTGCAGTCTTCCCAGCCACCTTTGTGTGGGCGTGACGATCCGATGGCACTGCATCCTGTTGGTCCATGTTGGAGACTGGTGTTAGAAGTGAATTCAACTGCAAGGATCAATAAATCTGTTTCGTTGACGTTCAGACTTTGACATTTGAAGTTTGAATGTAGTGTTTGCATTGTATGTTTTGACTTCTGTGGACGTGCTGTACACGACGTTTTGTGCTGGTTTTCTTCTGTGCTCACAAATACCTCCTCCAGACCTGCAGTGTCGTTCGGGCATGCAGTGTTCCGATCAGAAACCTTCTCTGTGCACAGGCGGAGCTCGTGTCTCAGCATACAATTCACACGTGCCAGAAAGGGGGGAGATGTTGAAATTGCTAGACGCACTGGTGCAGAAGTGGCCTGTGTGTTTGAGACTGTGCTTGCTGTGTCATTGGCTGAACTCTGCAAGATTCTTGACTCCTGCCTGACTCATCCTGTTTGTTGGGCAAAGGCGGATACGGTGTGACATTAGCATTTGTTCTCTCCTGTGAGCAGAACACCTCTCTTTGAGACAGGTGGCATCACGGCTGATTACCCGTTGTTGCTGCCTGAGGCAGCTGCTGGTGAAAACGGCAATGTGGGCGAGGGAGGCATCGGCATGACGACTCTGATGAGCCAAGCAAGTTTGGGAGGTAGGTGTGTAGTTAGGTGATAGTCTATCCATGAGACTGTCGGTCATGTTCTAGAAATGTAAGTGTTGTGCAGCAGCTGATGTTTTGAGAGTTTGTTTACGGTAATAAGTGGAGTGGATGCAAGTCATGCGGAGAGAATGTAATCCATTCCGATAGAGTGAAATTGGGCGAAACATGTTTTGTAATTTTAGTCAAATTCCAAAGAAGATCGGAAGGTCGAAATTCTAGAGGTAACGAGTAGTAGAAACTGTTGAAGATGCTTAGGAGGGTTGCTGTGCTTGAAGATGCTGCCTAATTTTCTTTGCCTTCTTGTCTTGAAATAAAAGCCTGAATCAGTTTTGGGTTAAACTGTGGACCGTTCTTCAGATGGATTTATAAAAAAAAAACTCAGCCGGCGGTGAGAGAATTGGAACGGTTCCATTCTGCAAATTATACTTCTGGATTTGTCTGGCACTGGTTGTCAGCTTACCGGAGATTGGTACTTGTGGTGCAGTAGGCGAGCATGGAGTGGTGAGAGATTGATACTTGTGGTGCAGTAGGTGAGCATGGAGTGGTGGGCTTTCTTCGGAGCATCGGTGGTAGTTTCTGAAGGAGAAGAGGAAAACACAGAAGAAATGGGAGGAGATGAAAGCCAAGCGGACATGGTAGATGAAGCTCGAGATGGCTATGGGAGACAGAGATAGAGAGGGAAGAAGGAGGGGGAGCAGGAGGAAGGGAGGAAGGTGGAGGAGATAGAGAAGAAGAGGAGGAGGAGGAGGAGGAGGAAGAGAAAAAGAAGAGGGAGAAGAGGGGGAAGAAGAAGCAATAGAAGGGTGAGGGAGGAAGGTTGTAGTGATTGTTATTGTCGGACCAGCTTTAGTTTATTTCTAGCAGCAGCATACTCTGTGAAGCGGTTGCTGTTGCATTCGGGTTTGTATTTTCAGTGGTTTCAGGAACTTTCAGCCGCATTACTAGAGATCTTGGGTGGGAGAAAGATACTTGATGCAGGTGGTTGAATCGTAGACGATGTTCGAACAAGCATCCATTGCTAACGACCTTTCATGGTGCCAATCACGGACTTATGCCCTGTTATTAGAGCTTCCGTTGGGTAGGGGGGTTCAGCCTCCTGATTAGTCGGTGAAACTTTGATGAAAAAGTCTGTCACAGCCCTCCCCCTCCCCCTGTTTCTTGTTCTTTTCTCCCTTTCTTACTGACGGTCCAGAGGGCAGTTCTCTATGACTATGTCCTCTTCTCCCTCTCTGCCTACGGTTTACCGGGCAGCTCTGTTTGACTATATATATATATATATATCTTGCTGGTGAGGAGATGAAAGTGGTTATCTGTTTGCCAACCTCGAGCGAATGCAGATGATCATTTGGGTTGAGGACCATGTCGGATGAAAACGGTTGAAGAGTTGTTTAACAGTTGCCTAAAAAGGAAAACTGGCTGCGGGCTATTTTTTTTTCAAGTGGAGTCGTGGACCCTTATGGGGTGCAAATCTCCGACCACAAGTCTCATTCTCTGATCCAGCTGCTTTCTGTGTTTTCCACTGTTTGCTGGTGGTGTGACTCTTTTGAGAAAAAGGAGAGGGGGGGGGGGGGGGGGAGGGGAGGAAAAGAAACGAAAAACAGGAAAAAAAGAAAAGAGAATCGTTGGGTATAAAATTACTACATATCTTTTTCTAATCAAGGATGGGAACAGGTCTAACATTCTTTAGGGGAGTGCAATTCTAAGTCCAAAATCGTCATCATCTCCAATTGGGCTATGAGAAAATGAACCCTTAATCAGTGCATCTGGATCACGCATCATTTGAATTGAGTGGTTGGGCTCAGGGTTGTAGTGGTGTGGTGTGGAATTTCTGGCTACTGACGTCATCAAGTCCGGGTTGCAGCAGGTGGCAGTGTTTTCCCTCCGCCCTATTAGTCGAAGTCGTGATAGGCTGGACAAGTCCTCTTGCGACATCTTAACTGTGATACCAGAAGGCTGCTTTGGCTGAGCTGCATTCTCAGTGGTCAGTTGATATACCCTCATTGTGCAGTGTATCCTTCACTTGTGAACGGAAAGTGGGCTGTAGTGTCAGTGAAGAGCCACACCCCTGGCTCCGAGATGGAAGGGGAAACATTCTCCTGCCCACTTTTTGTTGTTCCTTCCAGCTTTCACCGCTCACATATTAATATTATTTAATAATTCTCGCATACTTTTTTTTTTGCTGGATTTGTTTACTCTGTGTGTGTGTGTGTGTGTGTGTGTGTGTGTGTGTGTGTGTGTGTGAGAGAGAGA